ATATTATTATATTATATTATTATATTAGCACAATGTTCAAAAGAATAAAAGCCTAAGACTGACCCTTCTGCTCAGTGGCCCTTAGCTTTTCAGTCCCTGTTTGGAACCAATGCTGAGGTTCCGGGGACTCTTGGTCAGCCTGGTGTCAAAATTCTCTTCAAGCAGCCTTCAGCCCTGTTCTCAGTGCAAACTTCAGACACAAGAAATGCTTTGAGAACTGGTTTAATGGATACTACAAATTTAGTTCTATTTCTAATGTGGAAATAGCCCTTAGCCCTCTATAGTCTATTTGTTCATATTCTCTTTTTTAAAAAGAGAATGTCTGTTTTTTAAAAAGAGAATGTCACTTTCAACCCACACCCTCATAACTATTTGATGTAACTTCAAAGGAAGGTAATTTTTCACGTCACCTTTTTCAAGTTGCTTTGCAAACACCCCTCTCTAATTAGACACTTGAACTGCTTTACATGAAAGACTTTTTCCTCATCCTTGTTCTGGTCAGAGTTTTGGTTCCTTTAGGTGTTTGTCTATTTCAGAGTCTACATTTCCTGCATAGAAGAGGATGGGTGTGAATTAAATCTAGTCAAGTAAACTCACAAGGATTCTAAAGCACCACCAAGAGCACAATCAGGCCCAAGATCAGGGAAGTATGAAATAACAGAATTAGTTTAGACTCTTCTAGGTGAACTCTTTGGTGCATCTTCTACCAAAGATTCGAAACAAATCATGGACTTAAGGGTTCAGGCTAGTGCTCTGGAGGAGTATGGTAAATTGGGTGGGCCTATGGTGGGCTGGGGAACACACACCATGTCTACTCGCTGCCTGTGGTGTGTGAAGTCAGCCTTGTCAAAACTTCTAGACTTTCCAGCAGCCAGGAAATCAACTGGCATTTCAGTACTGGTAGTTCATTATTTTTAGACATTGTTTAGATCCATCCGAACACTTGTGTGGCTGGAAATGCTCTGTGGGCCTCAGTGTGAGGCCTGTGCAGATGCACAGGTGACAAGGAGTGACCAGGAAGGAGCACACCTGTGCCTGCCTGGCCAAATTCCAGGTAGAAGCTCGGGAAGGTGATCTCTTCTCCCACGGAGCAGCCATGCGCAAGTTCTGGTCCCCTTAGGCCTGGAAGGAACAGGCAATGATGCTATTTTGTCTTTCTGATCTTAAAAGAAAAAACCCAAACGAATGCTGTGACAATCACACTAATTAAGTCTAGCGCTCGGATTGTGGGAGGGGGTTGGTGAACAGGCAATGAAGCAAGCCTTCCATATGAATCCCAGCCTCCCAGATAAGACGCAGAGGTAGCTCTGTCTTTGTAGTTCTGTTTTAATGAGAGACCCAAGTCCTTTCAGGCTGACACGAACGAACACTGGGCAACAGAACAGGATGGGGTGGAAGTTTCCATCTTAATTCATTTTGGAAAATTAAAGAGTCTTTGGATTACAGAGCAGCATGGCTGGCCTGTGGTGAAAGCAAATAAGCCCCTCTGGTTGCTAAGAGACCCATAATTTAATCCCCTTCCCCTGATCAACACGTGAAGCTCAACAGAAAGGAGAGGAAATGAAAGAGATTTTGAGAAGGCTTTGAAAATAATGCCAAATCCAGCAACTAGGAAATCTCACCTTTTAGATAGAAAACCCCTCAGGAGGAGAAAGCCCTCCCTCCCCCAGCTCTTTGTCCTACACTGAAGCTGGAAAAGAAAATGTCTTTCTAACGGCCTGAAGGAAAGTTATCACTTCCAGCAACTCGGCAAGATGGTTCTTCTTCTCTCCGTCAGCCCTCCTTTTCGTCCTCCATATCAAACAGTGTCCATACCTTGGGGGCTTGATTGTCCACAGGGAGGAGGGTGATGTTAAAACAGAGCCCGTGCAGGGTCCCGCCATGCTGGTTACTGACAGAAAACGTGAAGTGGACGTGGCGCAGATAAGGGCCTATGTCTTCTATGGGGGGCATGTAGGCCACTTTCATGTAGTTCACGGCATGCTGCAAAACAAGGCAGAGAGGGGGGCGAGTGAGTCAGAAGCCACTTGAGTCCCAGGTCCCACAGGACTTTTGTACTAATTGATATTGAATACCATCATCCATCTGAAGATTCCACTGCGTTTTATTTTATAAATGGCATTCTCTATAAACCAGCAGAGAAAAGGACAAAGGCATTAAGTAAATGACAGTGGATCCAAGTGCTTGAAGCCACTGAATTTTATGAAAGATAGGAGACCTGCATTTCAACCCACTACCACAATGTAGTTTGAGGCCACCATCTGCTCTACAGGAGAAGGATGGACAGTCTCCTCCCGGGTGATTAACTGTCTCTGAAAACCCACTGGAGGATGAGCTATGAGTGGCTTCCGACACTACGGTACACACTAACAAACAACAACCACAATATAGCAGGTGTGTGATGTTGGCTAAGCTGCTTACTTTTGATAGACCTCTGTTTCCTTATCTATATAGAATAAAACAATAAAATAATAGGCTCTCTCTCTTCTCTCATTGTCAAGCTGAAATCAACTCAGGGCTGATGCTACAGTCTATTTCCAAGGTACACAGAAATCACACAGAGACTATCTATTTGTCTGGCCCAGAGCCGTTGATGGATTTGACCCACCGGTGAGGTAAGTCCTTTAGGTTAGAAGTGCAATCCATAGGAGTTCCCACACAGGGTTGACATACACACTGACAATCTCTAACTACGATGAAATTGAACATAATTATCCTCAAATTGCCCCCCTGTGGGACAGAAGGCGGGTGAAGCATCATGGGTGAAATGAACTGACAAAACAAAAATGTGTTCACCACATCCCCAAATCAGAATCCCACTGTTTATAAAGTAATGAAAATCCAGTGGTGAATTATGACAAGACTTGAAACCCTATCTAGGTTGGCCGATCATTTTCACATAGAGGTTGTCTGTTTAATATAAATGAGCAGACAGCATCTGTGACTCGTCAAAGGGCCTCATTCTTGATGACAACACTGTTGTTATGTATCGTTGAGTCGGAACCAACTCATAGCTGACCCTCCAGAAGGTTGTTAGAAGCATGGGAGGAGACTGGTCATCTTTCTCTTACAGAACAGCTAGCTGGTGGATTTGAACCCCATGTCTTCAGGTTAGCAGCCCACCTCCTCACCACTAGGCCACCAGAACTCCCTGCACTAGCAAGGTCATTTCCCCTTAGAGGACACTTAGTCACATCTGGCCATATTCAGGTATATTGTCCTACCTGCGTGAATGACTTCAGTCTCTCAGCCACAGGATTTTTGGTTAGCTTTGGAATGCTGTCCACCAGGAATAATCTCCCAGCATCTAAATGTCTACATAAAACAGGAATGAATAAATCAGTAGTTAACAAGGTAGAGAAAAATTAAATCAAATAGTCAACATCCAAATTCCCAACATCTACAAGAGCTTATAGTGGGAAGAAACCACAGCCCCCACTTTTATAGTCCTACTTTATTTGGGGCAGGGAGGCTAGTTTTAAGTCTAACATCGTCAATGCCATTGCCATCAAGATTGCAAACAGCACTGATATCATCTTCTGCCTTGACAATATGAATGGGAATCACTACTCTTCTGAACACGAGTGTTTGCTGTCAAATATATAACATAAACCTAAGTATATCCATTAGTCTAAAGTATTTCTAGATTGGGGTCACAGAATATGACTACTTCATGACTTAGAGTAATTCAAATATAACCTCAGAAGTGCTTTAATTTTGCTAAAAAGAAAGAAAAAAGAGCTCCTTTAGTGGGGAAAAAGGTACTAAAGACTATTTTAAATCCACCTAAATTGAAGATATCACAAACTGCTGGTAGCTTACCAATTAGTATAGTTTTTGAAGGCAGGTATAAGAAACCTTTGAGATTAAAAAGTAGAGTCTAAATTGCAGGTATACATTTATGTCTGGCTCAGCAAAGTCATTCAACCACAGTACTACCTACCGACAATTCATCTCTCCAATCCTAGAACACAGCTCTCATGAGAAACCCAAGCAGTAACTTCCCATGGAGATACCTGGGGCTAACAGAGAAGACTGGAGGGGTCGTCACAGTGTAGAGAAGCTCCCTGTCGTGGGATTCCACATCTATGAAATGCAGGTGCTTCCTAGTTATACAGGTCACCTCAGTTTCCTTGACAACCAAATGACGAGAAACCCCAGGGGCCTCTTTGGGAAGCTGGTCATTCACTGGTGTGATATGAATTGTCACCACCTAGAAAGAAAACATTTGCACCATTAGTTAAAAACACTAACATTAAGGCAATTTCTATATATGTACATATATATGAAATATATATTTATATAAATTTCTCTTTCTTTCTATAAATTAGATATACAATTATGTATTTATATAAATCTATATTTTGTATGCACACATATAGAGAGCACGAGCTAGCTTTCTCTGTTGGCATAGCTGTAATGTTCGGGGCTGTCATCCTGAAGGGCAGCAGTTTGAATCCATCATTTACACCTTGAGAGAAAGATAGGCAGTCTCTTTCCATTAAGATTTGTTGTTGTTAAGCTCCCTCAAGTAGATTACCACTCAGTGACCCTACAAAACAGACTTGAACTTGGCCCAATCCTACACCAACCTCACCATCTCTGAGATGCTTAACTCATTGCTGCAGTCACTGTGCCAATCCATCTTGTCAAGGGGCTTCTTCTCTTTCACTGACCCTCCACCCTTGGCAGCATGTTGTTTTTCCCCAAGGCTGGCCCCTTCTCTCAACATGCCCAAAGTACGTGGAATGATTTTCACCATCCTTGCCTCTAAAGAACACTTGTTTTGCACTTCCTTTAAGACTTGTTTGCTCATTAGAAAGTCCATGGAAAATTTAGTACTCTTCTACAACACCATAACTCAAAGGCATTGATTTTTCTGCCATCCTTACTCATTGTCCAACTCCCAAATGCATTAGGAAGCAACTGGAAAAAGATCTGTTTAGATCAGGTGCACCTTAGTCTTTAAACTGACATCTGTGCTCTTTAGCACTTTGGAGAGATACAAGACAGCAGATTTCCCCAACACAATACAACTTCAAATTTCTTCACCATTGCGACCAGGGGTCTTGACTGTGGATCCAAGTAAAATGAAACAGTTGACAACTTCAATATGTTCTTTATCAATCATGATGTTGCCTATTGGTCCAGTGGTAAAGATTTTGTTTGTTTTTTGATTGTGAGATATAGTCTACATTGAAGACTATAATCTCCAATCTTCTGCAGCAAGTGCCTCACATCCTCTTCATTTTCTGCAAGCAAGGTTGTGTCATCTGCATAAAGCAGGTGTTATAATGTGCACTAAAATTTGTTGCCGTTAATTGTTATGTGCTGTCAAGTAGCCTGTGACCCATAGCGACCCTATGTAAAACAGCCCTAAACCCTTCTCTATCCTGTGCCAAACTTATTGTCTCTGATACACATATCCCCATTACCCCAGTCACTGAATCAATCCATCTCATCGAGGGTCTTCCTCTCCTGCGCTTTCCCTGCACACTCTCAAGCATGACGTCCTTCTCCAAGGAATGATCCCTCCTTGCAACATGTCCAAATTATGTCAGACGGAGCTTCAGAATCCTTGCCTCCACAGAGCAGCCTGGTCTCACCCTCTCTAGAATGAATCTGCTTGTTCTTCTAGCAGTCCATGGTATATTCCATGCTCTTCTCTCCAGGACCATTAAGATATTCAGCCTCTAAATCCAACAGAGGATTGAAATGAGCTAGGACCAACTCCATGGCAGTTGTTTTGGTTTTTCTAATGTATAATCAGTCAGTCCCTGGGCTACAAAATTTGGACGACTCCAGGCAACTGCTGCTTACCCTTAATATTATGTAAATTTGCCCTCACTTTCAAATAATTGAACCAACCCCCACTCCCAACAAATTCTTCATTACGATCATTGCACCTGCTGCACTTGCAGATTCTAAATCATTAAAACGTCTTGAAACCTTTCTGGTACTAATCAAACCCAAAGCCACTGTCATCAAGTTGATTCTGACTCAAAATGACCCTAGTGTGTTAGAGCTGCCCGAGGGTCTCCAAGGCTGTAACACATTACAGAAGCAGAGGACCACATCGATCTCCCATGGAGCAACTGGGGAATTCAAAACACCAGCCTTTCAGGAAGTTAAGTAAGAACTTAACTTTGGATTTGGTCCAATGTACCTACAAATCGTAAAAGACAGAATTAAGAACAGATCTCTTCCCTAACCCAAGGGCTGTAAGCATACATCTGTTGTAGTCCGGCCCAAGTCTAACAGCTCAGCTAGTTTTATTTTAGGGGTCTTGGTGGTGTAACTGTTAAGCATTCTGCTGCTGTTTGCACCTGCTGGGTGGCTTCATAGTAGAAAGACAGGGTGTGCCTATAAATTCTCCATCCTAGAAATCCTTAAGGGACAATGGGATTCTGTCCCAGGTAGTAACTATGAGTCATTATTGGCTTGATGGCAGCCAACGACAACAATGCTATCACAAATGAGTAAGTGCTTGGTTACTAACCAAAAGATTGGCTGTTTGAGTCACCAAGAAAAGCCTCAAATGAAAGGTCTGGCAAGAAGCTCTGGTGGCTTAGTGATAAAAAGCTGCACTGAAATCCCTCAGTTGCTCCAGGGGAGAAGGATGTGAAATCTCTTCTCATGCAAATAACTGCCTCTGAAAAGCCACTGGAGGGTCAGCTATGGGTCAGTTCCAACTGAAAGGCACAACACCACAGCAACAACTAGATGCATACAATACTCACGTCCTTGCCTATTCCCACCCAAGCTTGATGCTTCCTCTCTCTGGAAGGCTCTTCTTTTTTTTCCAGCCATCTGAGGTCTTCTCATCCTTAGGTGGTTCTTCTATAAACGTGGCCCGATTCGTCAATCGGTTACTGTTCCTACATTTTGCTCACTCACCCTTCTCCAAGCATTTTTATTCCATTGCCTTGTGTTGGTAGAGGACAGTTGCATGACAGTCTCTGTCCTGGATGTTAAGCGCCTTGGGTCATGATGTCACGATGTCATGCAAACCTAACTCTAGCTGGAAGTGGACTCACACAATCCTGAGATCACTTACCAGACATTGGGCCTTAAACAAATTGCTCAGCATTTCTGAGTGCTAATTCTCTTAAGTAAGTTAAGAAAAGGCCCAGCACTAAGTAGCTATTCAGAAACTACTGCTTCATCACTTCAACTTACAGCAGGCAGCACGGGAGTGTGTACGGGAGAGGCACTTCAGCCCTGTCTCCTAACTGAACTGTAATAACCAGTCTGTGATTTTGAGACTTCTTCAAGCCATATTGGCAGGTCTGAGTCATGATAGTCACCAAAAGAGAGGAAGATCGTCCATGATACGGCTTGACAGACACAGTGATGGCACATGGACTTGCACAAAGCTGAGACTGTGAAGATGGCACGGGATAGGGCAAGGTTCCGACCTGCTGTTCATAAGGTTGCTATGAGTTGGAGTCAACTGGTTGGCTCCTAACAATAATAACATCAACAACCTATGAGCTGTGCTCTCTGGGTGTATCATTTAACTCTTTTGTGTCTTGGGGGTTTCCTCTGTACATTGAGAGGCACAACAATGACTATTATAGCAATGTGTTAACAGGATCAAATGAGATAGCTAATAGTACACCGAGTACCTGGAACTTCGAAGATATTCGATCAATGAATTCCCGGTTCCTATCTTTTCATTAATTTTACAAAAGCATACAACATGTTTACTACTCCATTATGAAGCATTTCAATAATTAAAAACTAAAGCCAGTTATCAACATAAAGGAACATAATGACAGTCATTTCTCCAATCTCCTGGAGTCTGTGTCATGATTTTTTTTTCCCTTCCAGTTATAGTATTTTGCTAATCTACAAACTTCAGAAATTCTCTATGGGACCGCCCAGCCATACTGTGGATCAGTGAGGCTCCTCTTAATTGAAAAACTGGATTTAATAAGGAAACAATAGTTATTGTGCCTTCAAAGAGACCATTTTCTATGCTAATTTATTCTCCAACGTGTTCTTTGTGTAAAAAGAATGTTTAAGCATGCTTTTTTTTATACCCCTATAGTAATTCTTGGTGGGCACATTTTTCAACATGCTTTACAATTGCCTAAGTTGATGTGTCTTTACATATTTATGCATGTTCAAATGGTTATTGTGCATGTGTCTGCAGATGAGAAAAACCCCATTTTACCAAATTCCGTGGAGAAATAAAGTGTTCTCATTGTAGTGAGATTTTGTTGTAACAGAGGAATTAAACACCAGTTCCCAAACAGTGAAAAATTATTGTCCAAACCAGTCATTGTTACTAACTTCATCCACTTCTTACCTGCCAGCCAGAAGGCAACCGTGTAGATATTCAGAATAAAGAATGCTAAGTCAGTATACAACAGGAAAAGTCCAGGCTTGACTCTCAGCATCAGGCTTACAATATATGACAGTCTGGCTGCTGAGCTCTGCATTTGAGTTCTCCACCCCTTGCCTGTCCTGAGCTCTAGTATCTGCCTACTTCTTATGCATGTCTTCCAAGAAGTCACCCAGTGCTATTTCCTACCCCAGGAATTAGCTTCAACAGTCGTCATGCCCATCTCATTCACTCACTGTTCTGACTTGTGATGAGTATTGCACACAGTACCTGCTCACTCACTCACCCTCTCTCTCTCTCTCATCTGCTCACTCTCAGCTTTGAGTGGGTTTAATCCTTTTTTACTTTACTCACAAGACTCTGTGGCATCTATGTCCTTCCTTTCTTCATTTCCTAGTCTTCTGTCTTCTTCTCTCTTGTCCATTTCATTTGTAACATTGCCTTCTTGAGCTCTATAAAACCATCTACCAAACAGAATTAGGGTATTCTCCTGCCATAGTCCACAGAGTATTTTCACCGATAGCCCAAGGGCTGTGTTTCTCTGGAGATTCAAATGAAACATAAGCTCTACGGGACAAAGAGGGGCAGTCTCCTCCTGTGCGATTTACAGTTTCAGAAACTCAATCGAAGGTCAGTTATGATTCAGAACTGACTTGACAACAATAAGTGTGTCTTGACTTTTGTAATCAAGTAGAAAGAGAAAGAAAATAGTCTTCAAAAACAAATAGAATGAGTGAGAGTTTATTTCATCATTGTCATGGCAACCAGGATAGAAAGAATATAATTTCTTGTTGACATGTGTCCATTTCTCAGCAGATTAACAAGTTGCAAATATGAAGAAGGGAGTACTCCCTCCTGCTTTA